CCTGTAAGCTAACTTCTGGGGGTGGGGTGCCCCTGGGAATTCCTGGTGAGGGTGTGACGCCTGGTTCTCCAAATCCTCATCCCCATTTCAGACCAAAAAATACTATTTTTCCACTGACTGGTTTCCAGACCTGGCCTCTAAAATTCATACCTGTTTTCAAACCTATATAGGCAGAAAATTAATATGTCACCTGCAGGCATCATCATTACTTAAGATTAGAATGCAAACTTCAAACCGTTTTCATGCAACATGCAGCACGTTTCGTTGCAGTGGAACGTGCAGATGATTAATCTTTGCCAGGACAATCCACTTTTACATACTGCGTTGAATGGCTATAAAAAAGTCCACCTATTGCGCGTTTACTTGGTGCACAGTTTCTTTATACGGGGACTGAGGAGTGGGAACGTTTTTTTCCAAGTTCTTTGCCAATTGTTAGAGAAAGCAATGGGCAGAATCCTACCGCAGGGAACTCTCTAAAAATAATCTAGCTGTTTCTCCTTCTATTTACGACTATGAGGTTTCCATTCCCAAGAAGAGTTTTTCAGATAGTGGAAAAATGGCCTAAAATGTATTTTTGCAACTTTTGTAAGACGGAGAGAACTATAAAAGAAAGAGGGAGAGAGAGTGAGAAAGAGGAATGTTTCCTGCTACGTTGTTCAACTTAAGCCAGTCCCAAAAATCCTTTTTTATCAGGGTAAATTGATTAAGTTTCGTGTTTTAATCGAGGGAAACGCCAAATAGTTTTGCATTGGAAAAATTACCTGAAAGAAACCAACTGTTACGTGCGGCAATTGCACCATTTTTGAGCTGACTATTTATAGCTTGCGAGTTACACTGGTTGTTTATCTATCTTCTTTCGTATTTTTATTTATCTTCGACATTCTTCAGGTACGGGGAGCGTGAGTTCAGTATTGGCCTACAGCAGACGCTGTAGCGGTACCGGGGTAGATTCGCCGCACCCGTAGCGGGCCGTAACAAGGGTAGCTTGTCTCGTACACTGATATATGACTAACCTGCGTAGCAAGGCTTAGGAAGGCAATATGGACGCCGAAAGAAAGAACGGGGCGTCCATGGGAGACGGCTAAGAAATGGCTAGCTACCGGGACAATTAATCATATCAGGGGCACCCAACGAGAATGTAGTTCAAAACCACTTAAACATAGCATTGTTAAACGTATTTTAGTATTTAAACGGTAGATATAGGCATATTTTATCCCCTAAAAATTTTTCATCTATTCGGATTTCCTAGCTGAAAGTCTAGTGATCCGAAAATTATAGGGATCAAAACTTGCCTTTTCGAAAATTTTAGCCAGAAAAAAGATTCTCGAAAATTCTAGGTCACCTTTTTAGGGTAAAAATCCGTTAAAAATGGGCAATTATACCATTTTGGGGGGGTTCGAAAATCCAAGGAGAGGCAGGCAAGCAAGAAATTTAACAACAAATGTTCCGAAAATTCTAGATCTCAGATCGTCTTTCGAACAGATATTTTCCAAAAACTGTCGTTGGGTGCCCCTGTATTTTCAATAATGACTTGTAATAATGACTTTTAGGAGTTTGCCTTGCACTGGCATTGAATCAGTCATTTCCTGCTGGTATTTGTCTGGGAAATTCTGCTAAGACACAGTGACTGTCCTGGCAAAACATCAAAAACATTCTGTCCTGAAGGAAAAACAGACTTTTGGCCGAAAAATTATACCTGAAGACTTAGGAAAAAAAAACTTTCGTGATGACAATACTGTCAGATACCGAGTGGGAAACCCTCAAGAATGAGTGGATCGTAGCAGCTATTAAATGACACCTGCATTAAAAATGCCAGCATTTAAAGGAAGAATTGTAATTGAAAAAAAAAATTGTCCGGACATTGTTATCAAAAATATTACTTCATTCATTAGGGTACCTAAACTATATTTCAAATAAGATACTGCATGCAAATGTTACTTCAACCTCTTGTCCCTTTCTGATTGCTGTTTATACTCCCCATGCATGGCTGGTACATTAAACAAAAGACAGCTGAAAAGAAAGAGTAAAACCTTTTCTAGAGGGCTTTACTATAAAGTGTAAAACCCTGAAGGAGTAACGTGCTTATTTCGGGATTACTACAAAGTGTTTCTTGCTTCTGATTTTTTGATAAACCCACAGGAATCAGTCCAAATGGAGGTGATTTCAAAAAGTTTGACATTGCTACAGGATTGCTATATTTTAATATCATTAGGAGTTTGCCTTGAAAAATGAATTTGAATAATACCAGGATGCTGCCAAGAAACTAATTTCTAGCTGGGATTTGTCTGGGAGATAATTTTCTGCCAAGATCCTGACTGGAAACCTTCTTGCTTGGGTCCCTGGCAGCAACTCTTAGAGAAAAACCTTGTCAACCCAGAATTCCAACTGGAATCTTCGGAAGAACAAAATAAATCTGCATGGCCTCAGTAAATTTGTAAGAATCCTGACAAGGAAAATACCCATTGTTGCAGTATTTTAGAGAGAAGTTACTTTATAAATTATGAAATTTAAAGCAAGGCAATTTGTTATTGAATGATTTGTTTTATTTATAGACTCAAATGTTTATCCTACATACTCACAGCAGAACATTTATAAACATTAAATTAATAATAACTTAGTAGATAACAATCAATAATAAAATTGTGCAATCATAATTCGTGGGCAGGCCAACATTTAATTTGAATTGTAGTAAAGCTAACCTCTAGTAACCCTAGAATATTCAACAATAATTTAAACTCTGTATTTTTAACATATGCATATTCTGGATTCATTACATCAATATCAAGATAATAATATATTCACCATTACTTCTGAAGAGCACTAGTACATGACAGTAAATCTCTTGCTACTAGGTTAGCCTAACTAGAACAGTGCATATTTAAAGCAGTTGGAATTATGAGTCAAAAAAGTCACTTCACCCCTAAAATTATTGCAAAATTATTTAAATATTATCTACATTATAGCTCTAAATTGTCTTTCCATAACTTTGTGAGCATGCTCACTCCACTCTCTTACAAACTGGCACGCACTGGAGACTGCAAAAGAAAAATGTTTTCATTAAAACAAATGCCCTCAAATTCTTAAATGTACAAGAAAAACTAAATACTAGTGACCTATTATATATTTATTGAACCACCAAGAAATATGGACAGATTATTGTAATATTGTGTGTAAGATGTCTAAAGAAGGATGCTAAGGCACTTGATATTTGAAAAAAGAAATCCTGTAAGCTAACTTCTGGGGGTGGGGTGCTCCTGGGAATTCCTGGTGAAAGTGTGTGACGCCTGGTTCTCCAAATCCTCATCCCCATTTCAGACCAAAGAAATACTATTTTTCCACTGACTGGTTTCCAGACCTGGCCTCTAAAATTCATACCTGTTTTCAAACCTATATAGGCAGAAAATTAATATGTCACCTGCAGGCATCATCATTACTTAAGATTAGAATGCAAACAAATTAAAAAATTTCTTAAATAACCATTTCTAATTTGCATATTACACTTCCTTTCTGATTCATTTTAGTCCCGTAGCATGGGGAGGGGCCTGGCCCTCCTTCCAATAATTTTGACAGGCATGTTTAATTTGGTCAGCGGCCACACCCTTCATGCTGCTCTTTGGTTCAATGCAATGTGTTCATTTTGGTTTGATAAAGCATCAAAATTATTTATTTATGGCGCGCTTCAACAAAGAAAAGTTGCTGGAAATTAATGCTCTCCGAAGGCTGAAAATGCTATTTCAGAGAGCTTATAGTTCAAAATCTTCCGGAGGAGCATGCACCCAGAAACCCCCTAGCAGCTTGCGTCTTCGGCACCCGTGATTGGCCCCCCAATAAATCTAACCTGGCTATGGCACTACACTTGGAACTGAAGTGACAAAATGTTCATACACTCTTGTAGTTTTGTTGAAAACCATATCTGATTCCAGACCAGAATAAAGTCTTCACCTGTTTTCAGTCCAAAATGGTGCAAAACCAATACCCTCTGGGGTGGCACATACCTACAATGAGGGACAAAAGTGTTGACACACTTCCGTAAAATGGCCCCTTTTTGCATAGTGGATATACTTATCCCCTTCCCCTGTCTACCCCAACCCCTTCCCCCCCAAAATCAATGTTGAATTTTGGACCCTCAAGTCTTTTTTTTACTTCAGACAACATTGATTCGGGGGTGAGGGGATTTACGGCGTTTAAAAAGAATAAAATAATAGATGAATTAAATGTTTGTTAAAAGCACCCGTTTTAAACAAGTGTGTCAACTATATATCTGCCAACTTTTTCTGAGATATAAGCATGAGATTTTTATCCTGGGAGTGCTGGGATTTGTGAAGACGACATGATCATTTCCGAAGATTCCCGAAGAAGTCTGAAGTCTTCCGAAGAAGTCCGAAGTCTTCCGAAGACGTCTGAAGTCTGCCAAAAGCGAAGTTATCGAGAAAACGGTTAGCCACAAAATCAGAGATCGCGAGGAAGGTATTGTCATTTATTCATTTTACACATGGTTCTCGTTCCTTACATGGGTCTGAGTTAACATATTTTTGTAAATTGTGTCAAGCAAGACAGCAACAACTCACATTTTTCAATCAGGTGTGAGAAATTGGCCCGCGAGCGTGAGCCGGCGTGAGATCGAAGTTTTCAACCCGCAGGCGTGAGACTCACGCCTAAGGCGTGAGAGTTGGCAGGTATGCAACTACTTTTGTCCCTGATTGTAGATACGGCTTATATAAGAGAGTACCTTTCCTGGCTAACTTGTTAAACAGGCCAGGTTCAAGGGAGAAGATAGTATGTTCCGGCCTGCTTGGATGTAGATATCAGCTGAAGCAGTTTGCAAAGAAAGTAGTGTCCGATATCCGGGGGCTAGTGGGTTTTGCTAACGCATGCTAACGGGCAAGTGAATTCCCAATTTGCAAGTGAAGTTTTCTTGGGGGAAATTCAAATTACAGAAGAACTGTAAGCAATCCTGCCATCAATATTTTTTTCAATAAATATATACTCACCAAAACGAGTTAGTACTTTACTAATTCAACATCAACTTTGTAGCAATTTGTTCCGTCTTCAATGTGGACTGGGTGACGGGTATCGGTCAAATAATCCCCTTTCCTTATCCAAGAGTCCGCGTCACACTTCCAACCAACATTCAAAACGGCTGAAACACTGTAATCAGGGGCAATAGGGGAAGGCATTGGGCATTTTATACAGTACACCAGAGCTTCTTCCTTCTTATAATTGGTCAAATCAACTTCTGTTTCACCAAGCTTGACTGACGGAGCATCCATCAGGCTTACATCTTCAAACTTCACCGTCAAATGAGAGTTTGAGGGGATGCTTTCGGGCGCGTTAGCGCGAAATTTCACTTCTCCAGTGATTTCGATCATTGCGATATATGCCTAACGAGGTTAATTTCTTGTGATGAGTAACACGATAAGTTTCCTTGGATGACAGTCACTGTTTACCTCTGAGAAAAAACCAGCCAGGATACAAACTACGCCTCGGACCTTTCAGCTGTTCAAATAATGACACTGAATCATTTCCATCTCAAACAAACGTGGGCAACATGAGCTTCCAATCGAATGGCTGCAATCCAAGTAGTCAAGCCTTGAATATATTTAAAATACTGAACGATTCATATTGAACTTGTTCCTGTCCTTTTTTTGTGTCCAATGCTCCCGTTGAGCAGTATCTTGTACCCAGACCTCCCAAGTAGGACAAGGTGAGGTCTGGATACGACATTAAAAGAAGCATAATCAAAAACTGATGATAATGATAATAATAATACTACTAATAATATAAATGATGATGATAATAAGTTAAAAAATGCAATTCTTAGTGCGAAAAACAAGTCAGACCGCTAGCTGCGTTTGGGCCCACATACACAGATATAGCCCACGAACAGAGATGCATTTCCGGTTGCCGCCTGTGTTCACAGTCTAAGATAGAGGGGACTGGCTCTTCAAAAATAAAAATGCCTTGGTCTCGTAGGCCTCAGCTTGGCCTAAAAATAAGGTGGAGGCAGGTGGAGGCAGGTGTAGGCTGTAGATGGTCCTGTGAGTTATATTGTGTAGGCCTGGAGCCGGGGTTTTTAATGTCAAGAAAATCCCAGATGACAAGGCATCTCATGATCATTATATCACCCCAGATTTTCAAATTGCCTGAGAATTAATTTTGCCAAAATTGCCAGTGGCACTACTGAGTTAAAACTATCATCAAGTATGCATGCATTACTCCCCTAAATATGCTTGATTATTTTTTTGTTATATTGGTTATGCATTTCTGCAGGACTGAACACCACACTATTTTTATTTACAGGTAGATAATGTTAACGGCCTTTTTATGCACTTGTGTCCCATAATAGCCGTAAACCTTTTGGCTCTTGAAGAAGCAGTCATTGGACAACTCTGAACTTTGTTCATGTTTGCTGCTGCTGTTTGGAACTCTTTTGGACATTTCCCTAAGATGAATTCCCCTTTTTACCAGGCTTGTTCATTTTTGTCTTTCAGTACATTTTTAGCTTGTAATAAATATAAAAAATATTGTTATTAATTATTACTATCATTATTATTATCCTCATTATTATTAATTAATATTCTTACCTTTCTTCCACTTTTCTTTATTTGCTTTGATGTTTCCTTTACATATATATTTTTTTAATTGAGGACCCGATTGTAAAACAATTTGCGTGAATCATGTTGGCATCCTCAATGAAGACTTTTTGTAATAAAATAAATAACAAAACAAAAAAAGAATGAAACATTGCCTGTAAAACTCAGACATCAGACAACCACAAAAACCACAAATATTTCTGGAATGATATTGTGTTGTGTCGGGAAAAGCCAATGAGGCATGGGAAAAGCACAAGCAATAAAATCAATCACAGTAGTTTGCTGTGATTGGTTGTAACACAATGTTATACATGTACTTCTGCTAATTTTTTGTCCATACACTTCCATGCATGGGTATAAGGAGAAAATCTTTTCTAATGTATGAGTGGTAAAAATCATTTTTAATCAAGTGCCCAGAAAGTTTAAAATATAATTAGAACAGACTAGTTGTTACCTCTTCACTTTTATTGCCTTTTGCATATCTCACTAAATGCAGACTTCGTGATTTACATTAAAAACTAATAGGCTAAAAAAAGGCTACGTACTGGCAAAAGACAAAAAAATGCTTACACCAAGAAATATCATTTACATGCCATAGCCGGTGATATGTTATAAATAATATACTTCCTGCAAGAGTTCAAGCTGGGAAAGGCAGATCATTACAACAACTCTGTTGTCACTACTTAGAGGTATAAAATTTTACTCAAGACATCTCGGCCGAGTTGTTCAAAGCTGGGTTAAGATAACCCAGGGTTAGTTCGAAATTTGAATTCAGATATGAAAGCTTAAAAATCAAATTGAGTTTAATTCTTTTTGCCAACAATTTGATGATTGGCTACTCTAAAAAGAATAGAGAAAATTGTCTGAGAAAAATGCTTTTGATGAAAAGAAAAAAGAGACCCGGGTTAAAATTTAACCCCGGGTTAGCGCTAATCAGCCTTCGAACAACTGTGCCTTGCTGTATTGTATGAACCTTAACTGACATGTGTTACATATATTATTGAACTTACCCTTACCCACAATTTTATGAAATTACAGTGTCTCAAATGCTGTTCAAAAGTAAGAGGATCAATATCATGACAGTGTAGAGGAGCAATATCATGACAGTGTTTTCTTAAAATTTCAGGCATAAATTAACTTGAAATATCTTAGTAATCTAAATTTACATTGTTTAGGGAGTTCTTTACATAGATCTCAGTTGTGATTTCCTTACATAGTTTTGAATATTGTGAAAGTTAGGCAGTAAAAATAATTTAGATATCATTAAAATTTCTCCATACACAACCATAGAAGGAGTACTTTATTTCCAGCAAAACCAAGTCTTGATTTTAGAAACACAGTACCAACTGCCACTGTCTGAAAGAAAACATATACAATTCATATTGAATAAAGCTATGGCAAAACTATCTAAATTGTTTGAGCTGGGAAAATATCAAGCATGCAGTCCAGAAATCCATAAGAAATCTAAAATATAACTAATCATCTAGAACATAATAGTAAAGTTATGTAAGGTTACTTTGCTAAGGAAACATTGTGAAGAGCCTCTGACACTTATAAAATTAAATGATTGCGTTTTTCATTGCCTTTAATCAAAATAACAGCTAGAATAGACACACCGCTAACGTAAAGAAACTGACAAAGGCCGAGGATCAAAATCCACCAGTCACCGTACATATTCTGACCTCAGTTTGGCCATCTTGTTTTCTGAGAGGTCAGGTCTGTTGTACTGATTACTGGCAGCAAAATGGCATACATGTAAACAGTTTGTTTGGGTTTGAACTTCGGAACTTGCCTGCACGCGACTCTTAGAAAAAAAGACGGAAAAACAAAATTCTGCAGTCGACTTGTGAAAAGTGTAGTTTTTTCAAAAAACAGTAATCGGATCAACATTTGATACTGTTCATTTTATGAATGGATTATTGAATCAACAAACAAAATCATTTTCCCATTAATGAATTCATCAGTTTATTAGCGATGGGAATACTTGACCTGCTTTGAGTGTAATTATTAGGGCCATTTATACGAGGGAAAATAAGACGCGTCTTAAATAAGAAATGGAAGTTCACCAAACACCTTAAATTAAATAAAATGGTGAATTGAAATCTGTGACACAAGTTTGCATTTTGTACCCTTGGGTTCTGAGATGGAAGCCGCTTAGGTAACATACATGTATATAGCTGTCACTGGTGTTTGAATTTCTCTTGGTATGGAAGATCTAGCGAGCATAACTGTAGCTTGCCTTTATTTTTCCCAAGGACGAGAGAGGTTTGTTTCACCAAGCTTGACTGACGGAGCATCCATCAGGCTTACATCTTCAAACTTCACCGTCAAATGAGAGTTTGAGGGGATGCTTTCGGGCGCGTTAGCGCGAAATTTCACTTCTCCAGTGATTTCGATCATTGCGATATATGCCTAACGAGGTTAATTTCTTGTGATGAGTAACACGATAAGTTTCCTTGGATGACAGTCACTGTTTACCTCTGAGAAAAAACCAGCCAGGATACAAACTACGCCTCGGACCTTTCAGCTGTTCAAATAATGACACTGAATCATTTCCATCTCAAACAAACGTGGGCAACATGAGCTTCCAATCGAATGGCTGCAATCCAAGTAGTCAAGCCTTGAATATATTTAAAATACTGAACGATTCATATTGAACTTGTTCCTGTCCTTTTTTTGTGTCCAATGCTCCCGTTGAGCAGTATCTTGTACCCAGACCTCCCAAGTAGGACAAGGTGAGGTCTGGATACGACATTAAAAGAAGCATAATCAAAAACTGATGATAATGATAATAATAATACTACTAATAATATAAATGATGATGATAATAAGTTAAAAAATGCAATTCTTAGTGCGAAAAACAAGTCAGACCGCTAGCTGCGTTTGGGCCCACATACACAGATATAGCCCACGAACAGAGATGCATTTCCGGTTGCCGCCTGTGTTCACAGTCTAAGATAGAGGGGACTGGCTCTTCAAAAATAAAAATGCCTTGGTCTCGTAGGCCTCAGCTTGGCCTAAAAATAAGGTGGAGGCAGGTGGAGGCAGGTGTAGGCTGTAGATGGTCCTGTGAGTTATATTGTGTAGGCCTGGAGCCGGGGTTTTTAATGTCAAGAAAATCCCAGATGACAAGGCATCTCATGATCATTATATCACCCCAGATTTTCAAATTGCCTGAGAATTAATTTTGCCAAAATTGCCAGTGGCACTACTGAGTTAAAACTATCATCAAGTATGCATGCATTACTCCCCTAAATATGCTTGATTATTTTTTTGTTATATTGGTTATGCATTTCTGCAGGACTGAACACCACACTATTTTTATTTACAGGTAGATAATGTTAACGGCCTTTTTATGCACTTGTGTCCCATAATAGCCGTAAACCTTTTGGCTCTTGAAGAAGCAGTCATTGGACAACTCTGAACTTTGTTCATGTTTGCTGCTGCTGTTTGGAACTCTTTTGGACATTTCCCTAAGATGAATTCCCCTTTTTACCAGGCTTGTTCATTTTTGTCTTTCAGTACATTTTTAGCTTGTAATAAATATAAAAAATATTGTTATTAATTATTACTATCATTATTATTATCATCATTATTGCTATTAATTAATATTCTTACCTTTCTTCCGCTTTTCTTTATTTGCTTTGTTGTTTCCTTTACATATATATTTCTTTAATTGAGGACCCGATTGTAAAACAATTTGCGTGAATCATGTTGGCATCCTCAAGACTTTTTTTAATAAAATAAATAACAAAACAAAAAAAGAATGAAACATTGCCTGTAAAACTCAGACATCAGACAACCACAAAAACCACAAATATTTCTGGAATGATATTGTGTTGTGTCAGGAAAAGCCAATAAGGCATGGGAAAAGCACAAGCAATAAAATCAATCACAGTAGTTTGCTGTGATTGGTTGTAACACAATGTTATACATGTACTTCTGCTAATTTTTTGTCCATACACTTCCATGCATGGGTATAAGGAGAAAATCTTTTCTAATGTATGAGTGGTAAAAATCATTTTTAATCAATTAGACCAGACTAGTTGTTACCTCTTCACTTTTATTGCCTTTTGCATATCTCACTAAATGCAGACTTAGTGATTTACATTAAAAACTAATAGGCTAAAAATAGGCTACATACTAGCAAAAGACAAAAAAATGCTTACACCAAGAAATATCATTTACATGCCATAGTTGGTGATATGTTATAAATAATATACTTCCTGCCAGAGTTCAAGCTGGGAAAGGCAGATCATTACAACAACTCTGTTGTCACTACTTAGAGGTATAAAATTTTACTCAAGACATCTGGGCCGAGTTGTTCAAAGCTGGGTTAAGATAACCCAGGGTTAGTTCGAAATTTGAATTCAGATATGAAAGCTTAAAAATCAAATTCAGTTTAATTCTTTTTGTCAACAATTTGATGATTGGCTACTCTAAAAAGAATAGAGAAAATTGTCTGAGAAAAATGCTTTTGATGAAAAGAAAAAAGAGACCCGGGTTAAAATTTAACCCTGGGTTAGTGCTAATCAGCCTTCGAACAACTGTGCCTTGCTGTATTGTATGAACCTTAACTGACATGTGTTACATATATTATTTAACTTACCCTTACCCACAATTTTATGAAATTACAGTGTCTCAAATGCTGTTCAAAAGTAAGAGGATCAATATCATGACAGTGTAGAGGAGCAATATCATGACAGTGTTTTCTTAAAATTTCAGGCATAAATTACCTTGAAATATCTAAGTAATCTAAATTTACATTGTTTAGGGAGTTCTTTACATAGATCCCAGTTGTGATTTCCTCACATAGTTTTGAATATTGTGAAAGTTAGGCAGTAAAAATAATTTAGATATCATTAAAATTTCTCCATACACAACCATAGAAGGAGTACTTTATTTCCAGCAAAACCAAGTCTTGATTTTAGAAACACAGTACCAACTGCCACTGTCTGAAAGAAAACATATACAATTCATATTGAATAAAGCTATGGCAAAACTATCTAAATTGTTTGAGCTGGGAAAATATCAAGCATGCAGTCCAGAAATCCATAAGAAATCTAAAATATAACTAATCATCTAGAACATAATAGTAAAGTTATGTAAGGTTACTTTGCTAAGGAAACATTGTGAAGAGCCTCTGAAACTTATAAAATTAAATGATTGCGCTTTTCATTGCCTTTAATCAAAATAACAGCTAGAATAGACACACCGCTAACATAAAGAAACTGACAAAGGCCGAGGATCAAAATCCACCAGTCACCGCACATATTCTGAACTCAGTTTGGCCATCTTGTTTTCTGAGAGGTCAGGTCTGTTGTACTGATTACTGGCAGCAAAATGGCATACATGTAAACAGTTTGTTTGGGTTTGAACTTCGGAACTTGCCTGCACTCGACTCTTAGAAAAAAAGACGGAAAAACAAAATTCTGTGGTCGACTTGTGGAAAGTGTAGTTTTTTCAAAAAACAGTAATCGGATCAACATTTGATACTGTTCATTTTATGAATGGATTATTGAATCAACAAACAAAATCCTTTTCCCATTAATGAATTCATCAGTTTGTTAGCGATGGGAATACTTGACCTGCTTTGAGTGTAATTATTAGGGCCATTTATACGAGGGAAAATAAGACGCGTCTTAACTAAGAAATGGAAGTTCACCAAACACCTTAAATTAAATAAAATGATGAATTGAAATCTGTGACACAAGTTTGCATTTTGTACCCTTGAGTTCTGAGATGGAAGCCGCTTAGTTAACATACATGTATATAGCTGTCACTGGTGTTTGAATTTCTCTTGGTATGGAAGATCTAGCGAGCATAACTGTAGCTTGCCTTTATTTTTCCCAAGGACGAGAGAGGTTACAAGAAGGATTTTTGTATAGAGTAAATATCAAAACGTTGTACACAGATAAACAGGAGGAGAGCTTTTACTGAAACCCGATTCTCCGAACATGCAGGAATTTTTTCTATCTGGGCAACATCATTTTTTTCTCCAAATGTAGAAAATTTAGATAACATTTAGATTTGATTTTGTGTACTTGTTGTTGTTCTGTATGGTGGCCAAATATGCACACGTGACATTGGGGTGTTTGTCAGATTCACCACGTGAGAGTGAATTGCTGCTGTTTATGATCATGGTTTTGACATTTCTTTTTTGAGAGCTGATGTAAATGTTGTTCACAACGTCGCTGATTGATGTAACACTGTGCTCATCTAGCTTCATGTAATTTCATATCAGTTTAACTTCCTTGGGTTTGACGCATAGAAATCCTCTAAATTCTAGACATGTTGTATTTTTCAACATAACAAAGCAATAGATGAAATAAAAAGTTGTTCGAATGAGTCTTGAGCTACCTTAATTCAACTCTTACATTCAAATTTTGCGCTTTTCGCTGCATTGACCCATCAGGGCATTCAGATTTAATTTGATTAGAAAAATTAGTGTCTGAAAAATAACTGATGCTATTGCTGTGGGCTTTTGTTTTTCTGCCTGCTTCTTAGCTGGACTTAAGTTATGAGCTATGAATTTCAATAAATGTGAATAAAATAATGATATTGATGGTAGCCTATCCATGGAGTGGCTGGGGGCTCTTCATATACCGTTTCCTACAATGCTTCTCAAACTGAGGATTTCTCATGTCACCCCTTCTCAACCAACTCGTCTACCTACCTTTTGCCTGTGTGTACCTCGTCTCTCCTTCACCATAATGAAATTTGCCTTTATTTGCAGTGCATAGTATGTGAATTGAAAATGGAGAGGGCTTAACATGAAAGATGTTTCAACAATGTGACAATTTGTAGGTCTATACACAATTAGGACGTTGGATTTTGAGGAAAAGGACAAACCAAAGTACCTTGTGATGAACGACTTGAGTAGAGTAGGGAACTAAGTAGGGATATTTCCAACCTGGGCCATTTTAAGGGCAGGCACCTGTGCCAACTACTTATACTTTTATATATTAGCAACCCTTTCTCCCCAATTTAGGGAATGATCATCATGGCCCAAAACTACCGCCGTACTAGGTTGGAAAACAGTAAAAAATTCTGAGGAATTAACTGGAATTAACATTAAGCTCATATATGAATTTTGCTGTGGGTAAAGTGAGTGAATTAAGGAGGGCCTTGACTTTACCTGCTCAAATGGAGAGTGAGAGAGCATATTTTGCGTTTGGGCTTAAATAAGCTTAAGCTTATAATTATAAAAAATCTCCCTCGAGGGGGGCAAACCCAAACAACATCTCCCAGCAGGCTTCTAAATACATTCCAAACAGATAAATATGTTCTAGAACTAAAAACACTTAACTTAATATTGAGGCAGAGGGTAAGCTCTATTGAGTTATCTAAAAAATTTATTCTTACAGCTTTCTAATATCTTAATTCGAACGTTTAAAGCAACTCTTCTCGCCCTCCGTACGGGGTTTAACGTGTACGAGTATGAAATAAATGCGTCCTTACCGCTAATTATATTTGAACCAGGGTAATATCTTTCTTGTAATCGCTCACTTCGTCTTTGATTTTCACGTTGAAGGACGTATCCGTCAAGTAATCACCCTTTCTGATCCAAGAGTTTCTGTCCGGCTTCCAGCCAACGTTCAACACGGCGGAAACACCGTACATGCCGTGTGAGTTAGGTTTTTTGCACTTGATGGTGTATTGAAGGTTGTCAGCTTTACTATAACCAGACAAGTCGACCATAGTTTCCCCAAGTAACTTGGAAGAGACGTCCATAAGGCTTACATCTTCAAACTTGACTTTCAAGTGAGAGTTTGGTGGCAGGCTATCTGGAGGGCCGCTAGCGAAGGTCAGCTCTCCTTGAACGGTCATGGTGAAATTTGAAGCAATGTTCTTGCCAGGTTCTTCGTTCAGCTTAACATCGGATCCTAATTCTTCACCTTTGGGGGGAATGACGGTGTCGTTTCGCTCTTCGTTCACTTTGACGACTTTATCTATTGGTTGTTCACAGTCGAAGAAGAGGCAACGATGTTGCTTCGCGCCGAGGGTGATAAAAATAAAGATTCCGATCAAAACAAGAAGTAATGCCACTAAAAATGGGATCACCCAAAGCGGCCAGTGACCTCTTGGTCCCTTGTAGTCGATTTCCTTGTACTTAGGCATGAGAAAGCCTTACACGACGCTGTTAAAAAGTAACTCACAGGTTGATTTCTTGAACGAATCTATTTTTGCTTTGTTTTGCGTCATTTTATTCCCCATGTATATATTTTATCTCTCTCCAGGTGCAGCCAATCATCAACAAGTGTAACAAAAGTAAATCGCGCGCTCTGATTGGTCAGTTAGCCACTACCATTTGCCCGTGCGTACGGGTGCACGGTAATGGACAAATTCAACAAATCTCCTCTCCTGACGGTAAAACCCCGGGCGGGGGCGGGAGTGGGGGGGGGGGG